ATTATAGCCTGTGAGTTATAGATTCTGCCTAATATTCCCATTTAAGTAAAGCTCTTGTGTACATGGAACAGTCTGGAGAATGCTATATGTACAATCTGGGGAATGCTTTATCACAGCTATATTTTTGACATTTTGCACAGGTGTTTACTAATAGCCATCAAGTTGTTTAGATTTTTGTCAAGTATTCAACTAAGAAAACACTTTTGACCTTAGTTGTTTTGAAATAATTGTATAATAATGCACTCTGGAGCCCTGAAATCAACTGCATTGTGTTGTTTCTGGAAAACCTGTTCTACTAGTACAGCAGCCTCAGATTGCTTACCCACACCACTCCCTATATCTTTTAACATTACAGCTAATTCTTTATCAACTGATTGTTCTGTTAATGTTTCCCACTCCTCACTTTGTGATTGTGAGAGATGGACCAATGGTACAGGCTGATGACAAAACCATTCCACTGGTTAAGACATGCTTTCAATGAGGCTTAAATTAGGGTGAGTATTGAGGGTGGTGGGAGTGTCCTACCGCCATGCACTTCATAGCTATACCCTTATCAATGGAGCATGTTTACATGCTCCCAGGTCTGACACAAAGAATTTTGGTTCCATTGACTTCAATGAGAGGGAGGATAAGTTGGTCCCTCTCTTCAAAACAAGAATTGTCTTTCAGTGACTGTTGAGCTTACTGATGGCAAAACCCCTCCTTTTTCACAAGTAAACAAAGTCTTCAGGAAGCCTAGAAAACTCCAGAAATAGTCTCAGAATGTTGATTTAGGGAAATGAGAACTTTAATTTTCTCAGGGCCAGTGGGCCCTCCTTTCTCACTCTAGTTAGACTTTCTGTACCATCTTCAGGCCCCTCAGAGAAAACCAGCAGAATGAGTGTTTGCTACCAAGATGTGAGGGCAAGTTAGTGGCAGGAGTGACGGATAGCAATGAGGAGAGGGAGTGAAGGAGGTGTGCATTGTAGGGGAAGAGCAGTGAGTTCTACAGGGATGCTATGGAAGAGATACAGCCTACCAGGCATGATGGATTGGCCACATGGATGACTGGGTTGGGTGGTAGGTGGGTGGGCCAGAAGGTCTAGTTGACCCACAAAGCTGCCAGGCTACATTCTTCCTCGTCTGAGTTATACCATGAATTAAAATTAAGACCACCGGCATCCAAACATGGCCTGTTCCAGTTTAGACTCCTCTTTTAACTTGATTGTTCCTGTGGGGAAAGAGATCTGCTGCTATAGCTGAGTAGTTACCAAGCTGTTCTGTAGAACCCGGAGGATACATTTGACCCAGGGATTCTTCTGTGTGTAATTCTCTCTCTCTTTCTCTTTTTGGCAAGCCAAAGCATGAGTGAAGATAATTTTCCCTTCCCTCCAGTAGGGTTTGAATTCCCAACTTCTGCTTTGTCATGAAATGCTCTGCAGAAGGCCCTGGGTGATACTTCTGTCAAGTTTCTGTGGCTTCCTTTATTTCATGTGCTCTCCTCTCTGTAGATCTGCTTGTCTGATGAATCTTTTCCTTCCTGAATGGATATATAATCTTTGTTCAAGGAGGGCTGTGAGTTAAATTGGCAAGCATTCAGTTTAATGCTATGATGGTGTAAAGTTGAAGGCCTTCATTTTGCTTCCCCCTTAATGTATGTTATTGTGCTCATAAAAAAAATTTCTTTGAGAGGGATAAGGGCATTTTAGTTCTTGATTAGTGGAATATCTTTCAACTGTCAGGAGCATGGGTTCTCTCTAGCTGTGTCCCTGAAAGTGATGGCACAAAGGAGCTTGGTGTAGTTTGTATGGTGAGACAAAGATGTGTACCATACGCATGTTCCCAGCAACATCTTGTGTCTGGCGTGTGGATGTTGTTGGCATAGACCCTGATTGGTGGGCTATAGTATTGCTGTTGAACTCTAAACTATTATTTTTAAAATGTTTTTTTTAAAAAATAATAATAATCTGGTTGCATATTTTCTTCCCTCCCTTCCTGGGTTTGGTAACCATTTGACTTGTATAATGGTAATATATTTCTGATCCTGCTGTAATAATCGCATAGGTTTTTCTCACTCTCTACACTCCATGCCATCACATGGCATTTTACCTTTCACATTGTACATGTATGATTACCAGTTCAGATTTGGGCTATGGTTCTGATTAGGTTTCAGAGGTTTGGGCAAATGCATGTTTCAAAACTAAGGTGAGATGAAATACAGAGGTCCACATTCATGCTGGGTATGTTTATTCTATACCTACAGTTCTTCTTTGAAGCAGAATGAAGCAGAAGAATAAATTGAAGAACTATCTATACAGTGATAGATGTGTGTTTTTCCTCATTAATAACTTTTACCATGCTGATCACACTCTGATGTTGCCTTGCCATACCTATCCCAGTTTTCATCTGTGAAATATTGGAGGGTATGCCAAATTATTCATCACCATTTGGCCATAAAGAAATTAGGAACAAGATTCTTTTTTTACGGCAAATATATTATGGTAAATGATTATTATGTTCATTGTGTTGCTATAGGCCGGTCTAGATGATGTGGAGATACATTTCACTTAATGATTTTTAATTGTATTATTTTTCTGATTGATGAAGAAAGTTCAAAGAGTATTAGCTTGCTGCCATCTGGTGGTGAGATAGAGTGATGGGCTCAAAAGTTGGTGGTAGCATCTGTCTCTGAGCTCCAAACCAGTCCATGTGCATTTGCACATCATCCCAGACATCAGGCATTGTGACACAAATGTGATGGTTTAAGACTGCCTTGCTGCCTATATGGTTTATATCTAGAGGTAGAAAGAATATTTTAAAAATCTTTGAAAAATGTTTTTAAAACATTACAAGAAGCATTCAAGAGAAGAATCCTGAAATGATAATCTTCCAATTTTCAGACTTTTTGTGCACAAAATTAATACATAGCATTTTGGTGCAGGAATTAATATTTCTGCAGTGAAATATTACTTCCTATGCAGGAAATGCTGTTTCCTGCACAAAGCAACCATTCACAAATTTTGCACAGATTAATCCTGAATTGTAAACAACATTTAAAAATGATGTGGTTTTAGAAGACTTTCTTACAATGGGGGAAAAAACATGAAGTTACTCATTTCTATTTTCAAGAAGCAACGTATTGAAGAATTACATTACTTTTTATATTATTGATGTAATTATGAATTCTGTAGAGATTGTAAAGGAGAATGTGAGTCTGTCTATCAGAACACTAAATCTGAACTTAGTGTGAGGTTATAATCTATGTCAATGATCCTGAACTTATAAGCAGATGTAGCAAATAGAATTTATGGGAGAAGAAATAGCCTTGTCTATAATCTAGATCTAAAGAACAACGAATATTATGTCAAGACCACAAGACCATGCACAGAAACCCCTGTACTTCATAGAAACAAAATAGCTCTCTATGTAGAAATGGCCCAAAATTTAAGAGCTAGTAACAGTTTAAATTGCCAATCTGTGACAATCCAAATGGCTTCACAAACATTTTCTCACAATTGCATTTTAAATTACTGACCTCAGTTAACTCTTGGCACACACATGTATCCTGTTTGTGCATCTTCCTTTTTGTTTTCATAAAAAAATACAAAGACATTTCACTGCTCAGAGTTCTTTCAGGAAATCCATGTCATAACTGGGGGGAAATCATTTGTCTAAACATGTATCTTCTGTTAAGCATCTACAATAATACTTCTGTTAACAAATAAGCAGACGAGAACAAAATTGGAACATAATGTACAAAGTTGCTACATCAGCACTAGTCTTCTCATCGGGGCATTTGCAAATTTCTAACATATTTCAGATCAATGTAACCTGATCTAATAGGTTGGGACCTATGAGATCAGCTTACATTGATCCCAAATATGCATCTGGCTTGCTTCAGCCAACTGGAATAGTTGCAACAACTTCCAGATGTGAACTGCAAGCCAATGGCTCACTAGTAAACTGGTGCTGGCTGATAGCTACTACTGCTGCTCTTTGGTCCCAGTCACATGTTCTTGTTTACATACCAGGCCTTGTAGCATGTATGTTTTCCTGTAGCAAAGTTGCCTGCGTGGAGCAAAAAAAGATCTATGCCATGGATTAATATGACTTTTAAATGTTTGCTAAAATTAATTTGAGTACCTCTGCATGAACCCAGCTTTGGTAGTTGGACTGCAAAGTAGAACTGAGCACCAGGAATGAGTTTACGCATGCAGCTTCTCATTTGGTTAGGGTATGCTTGGACATCCACTTCCCAAGAGGGGTTATCACCAAGAAGCTCAGCATACCAACATCCAACATCCCTTTAACACAATTCTTCCATATTATGAAATTGTTTCCAAGCTCCACATTGCTCTCTAACTTGTTAAACTGACTTACATTTTAATGCCATTTTAATGTTACATATAGTATTTATTTAAAAGGTTTACACCATATATTGTTTTAACTGTAGTTTGTTTTCATCTTCAGAGTACTTTGATTTACATAATATGGAGAAAGGTGGGATATAACTTAAATAAGCAAAATGGCATAATAAAAATAGTTATAATATAGGGGTAGAAATCATGCAACCCTACAGAAGTTAAGATTTGGGCCCTTTTACACAGCTATATAAAATCCAGATTATCTGTTTGAAAGTGGATTATCTAGCAGTGTAGACCCAGATAATTCAGTTCAAAGCAGATAATGGGGATGATCTGCCTTGGTATTCTGGATTATATGGCAGTGTGGAAGGGCCCTGTAACACTAATCTAGCAGATACAAAAGGAAGGAATGCTTAGAATTAAAATCCAACATCTGGATATTATTTGATTCCTATCCTTGCCACAGAGGGATAAATTGGCTCCTCACCTATAGGGCAATGCAACCTCTCCCTTTGATCCTTGTCATGGTTATCTCATTACTGGAGGACTGACAGCCTTTTTTTAAATACCCATTTCTGGCCTTTACTTTCTGTCATGATAGATAACTTTCCACTAAATAGGTTTGTGATTTTGAATTTTACTTTTGTTTCTTTACAGCTTCCTCATAGTGCTGGTCTGCCTTATATTCAGTGTGCTTTCCACGATCGATCAATATGCAGCTCTCGCCACAGGGACATTATTTTGGATGGTATGAGTATGACTATTTATTTAATGTAGATATAATTCATATGTGTATTTCCTTGAGAGATTAATCTTATTTTTTATAATGTATTTTATTTCTTCTGATTTGCTAATATATTCAAGTAGTATAACATGAAATTTCATTGCAGTATTGTGAAAAGTTGTTCAATCAAGAATGATGACATTATAAATTAGTTTCTGTTAAGTTTGGAGATTAACATAAAAATCTGAATTTATAACTTTATTGTTGCGTGCCTTCCAAGTTATTTCTGATTTATGGCAATTCTAAAATGAATCTATTATGAGATTTTCACAGCAGAATCGATCCACAGAAGGTTGGTCTCCCAGGGCCCTTCCACACAACCCTATATCACAGAATATCAAGACAGAAAACCCCACAATATCTACTTTGAACTGGGTTATCTGAGTCCACACTCAGATAATGTGGGATTTTCTCAAACCATGCCATGCTGGCTTTGAAATCTGTAACTGGCTTGATATAAATGCATTGATTTCCATTCTTCCTGTATTTAGGATTGCATGGGATGTTCCTAGTATTTTGGATTTTAACTCCCATTGAGCGTCAAATATCTGGATGAACCCCAGAGTTTTCATGCATCTCTGATCTAGGCTCCTTCTATACTGAAATATAATCCAGATGATCAAAACAGATAATCAAGATTATATAATCCAGTTTTAGGACAACTTTAAAAAAAGAAATGCCTATACAAGCAGTTCCTAAGTTATGAACAAGATCAGTTCTATGGCTTTGTTTTTAAGTTGAATATGTTTGTAAGTCAGAGCAGGCACATTTTTTAAGTGTAACTTCCACAAATATATATTTCTTAGCCCTCAGTGGCACAATGGATTAAACCGTTGTACCAACAGGACTGCTGACCAACAGGTTGGCGGTTTGAATCCGGGGAGTGGGGTGAGCTCTCGTCTCAGCTCTAGCTTCCCATGGAGGGACCTGAGAGAAGCCTCTCACAGGATGGTAAAATATCAAACATTGGGGCATCCCTTGGGGAAGGTCCTTGCAGATAGCCAATTCTCTCACACCAGTAGTGACTTGCAGTTTCTCAAGTTGCTCCTGACACGAAGAAAGAGCTTTGTATAACATAGGGAAGGACTACCACTCCCCTGGAGTTTGTGTTGCTGTCTGTGCCCCTGTTTCAAAGATTTCACGTCACTTTCTATCCCTGTGCTTATTGGATTTTGAAAAAAAAATGTCTTGTTGTAGAAACAAGAATTTGTATTGTCGAAGGCTTTCATGGCTGGAACCACTGGGTTGTTGTTTTTGGGGCTATATGGCCATGTTCTAGAGGCATTCTCTCCTGATGTTTCGCCTGCATCTGTGGCAAGCATCCTCAGAGGTAGTGAAACCTCATTACCTCTGAGGATGCTTGCTATAGATGCAGGCAAAACGTCAGGAGAGAATGCCTCTAGAACATGGTCATATAGCCCAAAAAAACCTACAACAACCCAGTGGTTCCGGCCATGAAAGCCTTCGACAATACAAATTCTTGTTTCTACAACAAGACATTTTTTTTCAAAATCCAATCAGCACAGGGATAGAAAGTTAAGACATCTTTTTTCCCATGATAACTCTTTCAAGAGTGAATTTCCCTTCTCTTTTTCTCACTTCCTGTTGCCTTATGAGTCATTTGTAAGTCAGATATTTGTGTTGTCTGTATTCAGGTACAGTTCTTCAGGCCCTACCAAGGACCCAACCTCTTTTCATTTTTTACATCTAGATGTCCTATACAGCCTGCCATGGGCAAGGGGAAGGAGACAATTTTCCTTGTTTGTGAACCCCTCCAGGCCACTTCATGTTGTAAAAAAAAGGCTAAAGTGGCCCAATACCCATTGCAGAAAACATGGGGAAATTGGCCCTAAAATTCCTAGAGGTCATTCGGGGGCAAAAGATGGGGGCAATGTGGCTCCCTATTTCTCAACAATTGGCTGCCCTGGTTTTAAAGTAATGATTACTGCATTGTTTTAAACAAGAAATTTAAGATTTCTATTAAGAATAACAGTAGGATTAATGATAAAAATAACTTTTGGAGTTTGCAAAAGATAATGAAGATTTTTGAAAGTACCTGGGACATGAAACAACCAAGGTTAAACTTTTAAAAAAAATAAGGGGAGAAATAATAACATGCACAACTTTATCTCTTTTAATCAATGTTTAATGACGCACAGTTCTGTAGGCGTGGAGCTTCATAAAGATGACTTGCTAATCTTTGTTTTCCTTCCAATTCTGAGACGGACAAGAGGCTGTAGGGTCAATTTAGTTCCACTAGGTGGTGATGCTAGAAGGATTTTGGCTCTCAGTCCTGTGCTGGAAATTATTCAACATAAACTCATGTTGAAGCCAAACCTATGACTGGATCATCATGCCGCAGGGTATATGTATACTTGGCATGTTTAAGATATTGGTGTAAGGGAGTTTTGACCATGACTCATAAAGGGAATGAAGCTTATTTGTATAAAAATTGTTTCTAAGAGTTCAGTATTTAAATGATGGAAAAAGTACATTCACAGATGTATTCTCCCTGTGAAACTATATTTTTTTCTTTTATTTTCATAAGCAGGTTTTTCATGGTGCCAGGACACGGCAGAATGTTGTTATCTCAGCATGATCTAAGAAAATCCAAGCGCATGATCCAAGTGGATTAAACAGTTTTATACACAGAGGGATATTCAGAGTGCCTGAAAAAGCTATTTTCTCTCAGGGATCTCATTTTATTGTCAGTTTTGGATCTAGAATTATAAGGATACATTTTTGCAAGAAATATATAATGTATGTGCAACATCACGTGTGGTGGATTAATTTTCTTCTCTTCAACCTTAATCTTTGCTCATACTGGAACAAATAATAATAATCTTGGGTTAAAAAGCATGCACATGTCCTTGGAGATTTGCTTTTTTGGTTGCTTTACTATTAATACATTTTGGCAGAGGCAGTTGTATGAATGAGGTAGACTGAATCTTTGGACTGTTTCTGCTCTGTATCATATTATTTGTCCAGCTATATAGTTAACAGGGAGGGAAATAATTGTAATGACATACATCTCTCTTCCCATTTTATACATTGTGATATTATTCTTATTCTTACTATATTTATTTATACCCCACTTTATCTCCCCAATGGGGACTCAAAGTGGCTTGACATAAAAGCATTAGTACACAATTTAAATATACAAAAATGCAAACATTAAAGTAGAATTAAACAAAAAACAGCATTAAATATTCACAGTTAAAATCCATCAAAACAGTTAAAAATGACAGCCCCCCCCCTCCCATTGCTGTGGGAGAGTCTTCCTGCTCCCCCGCTCCAGACTGGTGTTGCGTTGTGTATTCAAGCTGGGCCAAAATATGCCACAAAGCTTAGCCAATAAGACCTTAGTTACTCATTTAGTAACTAAGGTCTTATTGCAAACTGGTCAGCTTTTAGCCAACAGTGAACCCCACCCACTTAACCACACACAAAGGATGGAAACCACTGGGTTGCATGAGAACTAGAAAGGGGTGTGTGACTCCAAAACTCTGAAGTTCCATGCTACTTCAGTGACGTCATTTCCTTATCTTACATCTCACTCCTACTATAACAAGGTGTTTACTTTCTTCATTTCACCCTCCTTCCTATAAAACACATTCTGGCTTGCAAGCACTTTCTCACCCAGCTCAAAGGACATAAAGAAGCTCAGATGTGTGAATACTGGCTGTGTTGGCAGCAAAAAGGATAAATAGAAGGATGAAATTAAGGGAAAGATGCTAGTGCAAAGAACTAAATGCAGGTATATTTGCGGTTATCACCTGAGTGTAAAATGCACAATGACATGCAGAGAGTGTACCATGTTATTTTCTGTGTGAGCTTGAACTTGTACAGGAGCCTCAGTGCTGCATGGATTTTTTTAAAAAAAGAAAAATGGGATAATACAATATATGAGAAAATACAAAACAATTTGTTTGTTTAAAAAATTCCAGCAGGCACTGGCTTTCAGAGCATACTGTTTTGGAGGGTAAATACGAAATGGGACTATCAGGAGAGAATATTTAAGATAAGAAAGGATATTATTAATACAGAAAAAAATGGGTGATGAGAATATGTGTAATAGTTAAAGTGCACTAAGTAATGTTTTCTTAAAAGCTGCTTCTCATGTTCCCATTTTGCTTAAGTCCCAAGTTGGCACATAGTCTTTAGGGGGCAGTGTTGAACTGTATTGTAAAAGAAATACAATTTAGTTTAAATTTACATGGCTGCACAGCAAATTTAATCACTATTGTATTTTGAAAAAAAAACAATAAAAGAATTATGATTTTCAAAAGTGAAGAAAGACATTCTCAAGAGTGAATTCACAAAGCATAATGCTTGCATAATCTTATCACATTTGTAAAAAGAGTTCCTCAATGTTATGGTGCCTTGGTAAGGCTAAGAGGACAGGACATTAAGAGAAAGAAAGACAGCAGATGGTACCTCTCTAAAACTCCTGTCTAGGGTGTTTATATGCCTCCAGCAGTACTCAGGTAGTTCCTAGTAACTATATTTCCCATTTATTCACAGTGAAAAGCAACCTGCTCAGAGGAAAAAGCAGTGAAATGGTTAGAATGTTAGAATAGAGCCTAGGAAACAAGTTTAACTTCCTGGTTGTCGACCCGGGCCTCATCTACACTGACCATTTTATGCAGTTTGAAACCATTATTGAAGAAAGTGGTTTTGCTGTGCATATGATTACACAGGAAATCCTGGAACTAGTCTCAGATGGTGATTAAACAAAAGACAAGAGCAATGGCTTCCTTTCATGCACTTTCATGGGAGTTTGTTGTCTGGCTGCCACAGTTTGAAGCTAGTTTTGAGCTGAATTAAATGATCAGTGTAGATGGGGCCCATGAAATTTACTGGGTGACATTCTTTCAGCCTTAAACCGTCTTCACGGGGTTACTATAAGGATGAAGTGACAGAAGGTGTGTGAGTCGCTTTGAAACAAAGTGCAGGGCTCAAAC